GGGATTTGACGCCACGAATCGCGGTCAATGTTATTACAGTAAGTTTTGCTTGTATAATGGTTTTGCAATTGACTACCAGTGCTGTTGCCAGAAAAAATCTTCTATGATTTTTATAATAAACTTGATTTTAAAGTAAGATTATTCATTAAATAGAATTACTTTAGTTGATACACTCCGATCAGGCCCGCATTGCCATCTCCATCTGGAAGCAGCGTGCCGTGCGGTCTCGGCACGTGTAGTGCTACACGATGCCGAGCGTCGCATTCGGTCAGTATTCGGGCCAAGCAACGCTTCGGTGTTTGGTCCCGATGGCGCGCTATTGGAAATGGTGTGTGCCCGTGATTACTACGCACCTCTAGCGAACGGGCACTGTAAACCAGTAAGTTGGTTTCTGTCAAATTTTAATTTTGGGTTGTAGTTGTTTTTCTGTGATAGCAAATGCTGATTTCAGTGGGCAGGAGATGTGGAAAGTGGAACAAACCCAGAATGTTCCACTGAAAGGAACGTGCAGGAAGCAGTTATAGATGAAGGCAGTAAGCTTTTAATTATTATTATTTTTTACTCATAGAAATATACTTTTTTCTGTTACTGTTGACGCTAAAAGAACAAATTCGTTTGCATGAATAACATTCTTTTAGTTAATAACCCAATTATTGGAATAAATGAAATTTCCACTGCTTTCAGCGTTCAAGTTGGCTGCTGCTACGCCACTGCCCGATGACGAGGACAGCAGCTGGGTACGTCTATTGTAATTCACGTTAACATTGATCATAGCATGAATTGAGCTTTCAAATTTTTACTCATCAAATTTTAGAAAAAAAATTGAATATGGAAATACTGAATTTCAGGATGTGGCTGGACCGAGTGGACTGAATGCTACGTTTACGATTCCACCGATCCCACCACACCCCAACCTCAGCCCAATCTTGGAGGAGGTAACTAATTTTACTAAATCTCAAATTCAAAAAATTTTTTAATAATATGACATCATTACAGGCTAACATGAGCATTTTGTGTATCATTTGCTGTTATTACAGACTGGAAATAGCACCTCCATTGATGAACGGACGTTCACAATTAGCGAACCAAAAATTGTGACGTCTGACGCTTCATGCCCAACAGCCACGACTTGCAAATTGATGGGCAATTCAGCTGTTCAAACTTCTCATATGGTAGGTCATTTGAAATGGTTTGCTTTTTCCATTTCAATTCATTCACCGTAAAGTCAAACTCAATTGTAACAAAATAAGTTTTTAACGAATATTATTTATAGGAAGTAGCAGTCCCGGTACGACGTGAGCGCAAGCGATCGTCCAAGTTCGAAGTGATCCCAGATTATCGTGCCAAATTGTAAGTTTTTTTGTTTTACGACTCTTCGGCTACTTCTCAACATTTAAGATAATCATGCATTGTTGTATGAATGTTGCAGGAGAAGTTATGGGTCAAATGTAGACCCACT